TTCATATTTTATTCCTTTGAACAGCTTCATGATCTTTAAAGAAGAAAGTTAAAGTGGATGCGAAAGACCTTAATTATTTTCTGTTGACTTTATCTCAGTTATTTTAAAACAGTAACTCCTAAGCTCTTACCTGTGAAAATGTTTTAGTGAAATTTTCCATACTTTTTGTGTTTAAGATTCATAGATACCTATCTTTTATTTAAATTCAACACTGTCTACTTTTTTAAAATCTGAGTTTGGAATAGTTTTTTTTCTCACATGGAAAAAGAATAATTGAGGAGAAAAATAGCAGGTGAACAAGTTAATCACCTTTTATGCCGTAATATGCAAGTAATTTTATGAGCTTATCATCATCACTGCCTATAAAAGAGATAGGAATATTCATTTTAGTGTCTCTGACTTTAAGGAAACACTAGATTGCTAAGGATTCTTTTAGAAATACAAAAGAAAATGACAAAAATTTCAAATACCTTTAGATATTGAAAACTTTAGATAGCACATGCTGTATATTAAGTTCATATTACTATTTCTGGCCTCTTCTTCCTTAGAAACATAGATGACCCTTTTGTGAGGAATAAAGAAGTAGAGATTTTTTACTTTGCTCCTTTTTAATTTTTATGTAAAAATTCAAATCACGTGTCCACAAAGAGTTAACTACCATGGATATTGCTGCTCTCCTGTCAGCAACTAGAACACCAGACAAAATATGTGAAACAACTGTTTTTCGACATTGGACAACAGCACAGAACAGTGATCTCTGAGAGAAGAGAAACAGATGAGATTAACCCCACATTGCCTCAATTCACAGCCTGAGGCTTTGGCTAAATTCTAAACCGTAAAACCTGGCCAGAACAACTGCCAAGGAAAACAGTTACCAAGAGTGTAAAATGAATAATTCTCAGTGCTCATACAAGGCAAGAAGCCTTTTGACTTTTCTCCAGCCGGAGAGGAGAGACCTCACTGAATACAGGAACATTCAGTAGAGACTTCTAAAAGAACCATACTTTAGAAATGGGACCAAATTGGCCCTCAAATAAAGGATTTTCTAGATCTATCCTAATAGACTTTTTTAAAAACTCAAAAGAATTTAATATGCAAGTAACTTAACTATACAAGATCCAGCATTTAACAATGTAAAATTAACAATGTCTAACCTCTAGTAAAAATTATTAGGAATCTGAGAAAGCAGGAAAAGAACCAGAAGAATAGACCTAGAAGTTACGAGATGATGACATTAACAGACAAGGATTTTAAAATAGTTATTATAAATATACTCCTTATATTTAGTGGAGTTAAGGAAAACATAAGCATAGCAAGAAGAGAAATAGAAGATATAAAAATAAACAAAAGGAACTTATAGAGGCGACAATACATCTGAAGTGAAAAACAATAAAGAGAGTGGAATTAACAGCAGATGAAACATTACTGAAAGTAAAAATCAGTGACGCTGAAGTACATAGCAATTAAAACTATCCAGAATGAATCTGAGGGGAAAAAAACCCGAAAAGTATGAAGAGAGCCTCAGTGCCCTGTAAGACTGTACCACATGGTCTAATAAAAGTGTAACTGGAATCTCAAAGGAGGGGTAGGAGACAGAAAAAAGTATTTGAATAATGGCCAAAATTCCTCCAAATCTGATGAAAACTATGAGCCCCAAGATCTAAAAAATTTAATAATTCCCAAGCAAAATAATCATAAAGAACACCATAGAAAGGAACATTATAATCAAATTGTTGAAAACCAGTGACAAAGAGAAAATATTAAAAGTCGCCAAAGTTAAAAAGATATATTACATATAGAGGAACAAAGATAAATATATACACAAATTTACCATACACTGTGCAAACCAGAAGACATAAGTTTTTTAGAGAACTGAAAGGAAAAAAAATCTGTCAACCTAGAATTTTTTACACACCAAAAATGTCTTTCACAAATGTCTTTCAAAAATGAAGGTGAAATAAAGACTTTTTCAGACTTGCCAAAGCTGAGAGAATGTATTGCCACACCAAGAAAGGTTTGAGGAAGTTCTGGCCAAAGAAAAATAATACCAAATGGAAATTTGGATCCATACAAAAGGAATAAGGAACACTAGAGGTAAAATATGTGTAAATGTAAAAGATATTTTTCCTCATCTTAAAATTTCTTTAAAATATAATCAATTGTCAAAGAAAAAATTATGCATTATGTGGTTAATAACATATAGAAACAAAATATATGAGTACAATAGCACAAAGCAGGGGGAATGGAAGTATATTGTTATAGCATTCTTTACAATATACCTAAAAGTAGCATGATATTATTTGAAAGTTAAATGTGATAAGTTAAAGATGTATATTGTAAACCTAAAGCAAATTTCAGCAAACCCAGTAGGCCAAATCCAGCACACTGCTTGCTTTTGTAAATAAAGTTTGATGGAACACAGCCAAGTGCATTTGTTTACATATTGCCTACGCCTGCTTTTGCACCACAGTGCTGACTCTGTAGTTGGAAGAGAGACCTTATGGCCCACAAAGCCTAAAATATTTATCATCTAGATCATTACAGAAAAAGTTTGCCAACACCTGCTGTAGAGTAGCCCTTAAAAACATAAGAAGGTATAGTTAATAAGCCAATAGTAGAGATTAAACATAATCATAAAAAGTGATTCAGTTAATCTAAAGGATGGATGGTAAGAGTAGAGGAAAGGTAGAAGAAAGAACAGTTAGGTCAAGAAATTAAGTAGCAAGATAGACTTATACACAATCATGTTTATAATTTATTAAATGCAAATGATATATGCACTTTAATCAAAAGGCAGAGATTGTCAGATTGGATAAAATAGCAAGACACAACTATATGCTGTCTAGAGGAAACCCACTTTAAAGATGTGGATAGGTTGAAGTAAAAGAATGAGAAAAGATATACCACATAAACATATGTCCACGCAAAGACTTGTAAGTAAATCATCATAAAAGCTTTATTCATAGAAGCCAAAGATTGGAAACAACCCAGATATCAAGCAATAGATGAATGAACAAATTAGGGTGTTTCCATACAGTGAAATGCTATCAGCAATGAAAATGAATGAACTACTAAATGTACACAACATGAATGAATCTCAAAGTCATTATGCTGAGAGAAGCCAGATACAAAAGAGCACATATATATGATTCCAGTAATATGAAACTCTAGAAAAACTAAATATAATCTGTGGCGACACAAAATAGTGGTTGCCCAGGGATTAACTGGGATGGTACTCAAGGAAATTTTGATTATTGTGTCAGAACTCATCAAACATCCATTTAAAATAAGAATGTGTTTTGTTATTCCTAAAGTATGCCTTTTTAAAATTTAAATCATGAAAGAATTTAGTGCAAGGCTTTCATATACATTGTAGACTTTATAAATTACTAGAATAGGTAAAGAAATAAGATATAAATGACTACAATTGTGGAAAATTGGATGCATTTGGAATCTCCATAACTTTATATACATTTCATCTCAACTCATCAATTTTAAGGGATAGGAATCCTTAGAAACATCATAGAATGTGCCTCTTGAGTCTTTAAAAAAGCAAATAAATAAACATTATCACTATGTATCAAGCACTGTGCTAAGTGTTTTAAATGGTTGATTATATTTATTCCTCACTACAACTCTATTGGGTAGGGATTAAACCCATTTTATATATGAGAAAGGTGAGGCTCAGAGAAGTCATATAATATGCCCAAAGATACAGAGCCAGAATTTGAGCCCAGATATGACTCCAAAGCCTGTTTTCCTTCCTCAGTGCTAACCAGTCATCTTTAAATACTTGGTTGCTTATGTTAAAAAGTCTGGTTCAAAATTTAATTATTTAAAAAATTCATTTGAAAATTACTTTGAAAGAGAATTATTCTGACATTTGTTTTAGTGACTGAGACTCTATAAATCAAGACTATTAAGGAAAAAGGTAAGGAAATAAGGAATTATGTACCATTCTGTTGTAGAAAATCCTTTCAATTTTATAGCTTATAATAATATCTCCCTTAACTTTTTGTTAGAAACTCCCAAATAATTCATCTAGCTAATCTCAGGAAGATGTTCAGGAGAACGTGAAAGGAATTGTTTTTGATTATGTCATAATATGTCCATATTGTATAAGAAAATGCTTAGTTATCAAGCATCTTAGATGTAATATTGTACTATAAATGTGAGTTTACTATCCTTAAGTAAGAATCTCACATGGAAGCAACCAAAGTGTCCTATGATAGATGATTGGCTAAAGAAACTGTGGTACATACATACAATGGAATGTTACTCAGCCATAAGAAGAGATGAAATACTGCCATGTGCAGCAACATGGATGGACCTTGAAATAATCATACTAAGTGAAATAAGCCAGACAGAAAAAGTTGAAAATCACATGATATCACTTATATGTGGGATATAAACCTAAAAGCAACAAATGAACAAGACAAACAGAGACTCATAGACATGGACTGTAGACTAGTGGTTACCAGAGGGGAGGAGGGAGAGGGAAGGTAGATGGGGGGAAAAAAATTAAATCATTTCTTCAATTAAAAAAATAAATTAAAAAAAAAAAAGAATCTCACTTATTGATGTACTTTAAGTTGTCACTCCCCAGGGATTCTTGAAACCTCTGGCTCCCAAGAGCCACCTCCTACAGGTTATGGAGTCACCCAGCAATTTCTGACTACTCAATAAAATATTACTAAATGGACCAGAGTTTATCTTCACCGATACCAAGAACTTTACCTCTAATTTCTAAAAAAAGCTTCTTGATCCACTTAAAGATAATCTTTTGCATGTTTTCATTTTTCTGGAAAGTGAATTGTGTGATCCATATGATCTTTCATAAGCCAGTTCCTAGAATAACCTTCAACTAAAGCTAATGGGCATATTCTTAAACATTTTAAACCACACTAATAAAAATAGATCCCATATAAGAATGATGATAATAAATATGTAACTTATAATGAAATCTAATTTTTATATGATTGTGGGTTTTTTTCATTCAGATGTGACAGTGGTGTATCAAAATGGGTTACCTGTGATATCTGTGAGGCTACCATCCCGGCGTGAACGCTGCCAGTTCACACTCAAACCTATCTCAGACTCTGTTGGTGTGTTTTTACGACAACTACAAGAAGAGGATCGGGGGATTGACAGAGTTGCGATCTATTCACCTGGTACAGTCCCCTTTATTATTAATTCCCCCCACCACCCATTTCTCCCAAAACTATTTCTGTGTGTGTGTGTGTGCGTGTTGCAAAAGAATCCCACACTCTTTAGAAAATGTTTTTTGCTCAGCAAATGTCAGGGGAAAAGGTGATTTTTCTCCCAGCGGCTCTCAGAATATAATTGTTCAGTTTTAGCAAATGTATATATACAGGGAGTCTTGTTCATAGGCACCTCATATATAATGCCATGGGCATTTTATATTATTGAGACTTTTTATCATTACCTTAGGCATAGAATAAATTTTTCTAGTAGTTGTGCCCTCATCCCTGGAGATATGAAAAATTAGGACTTCTTTTAGATTTTCTGATGTCTTTCACATAAAAGTTACCAAAATAAAACCATGTATAATTTGAAAGTATATGAAATAAGGCACTAATTCCCATTCGACATGACATCCATTTTACCAATTATTTTTTAAGTGCCTTACATTTTTTCCCATTATTACTTTGAAACATTTTAAACCTACAGAAAACTTAAAAGATTAATACAGTAAGTACCCATTTACCCTTCACTTAAATTCACCAGTTGTTACCAATTTGCCATGTTTCTATGCCATAAATATTTTACGTATATTTAATTCTCAACTAATCTAATAATATAATTAGTTGACCACCTTGGTATACTTTGCTAACTCTAGCATTCATACCTACCAAATTACTGGCATCTGATCACTGACCATACTGAAAAGTACCATATATTAAAAAACATTTTTTTACTCAACCAACTTCCATCATAGACAGATACAAGACATCCATGCAGGTCTCCCAGTGACCCTGGATTTCCAACTGATGCCTATACAGCTGTTAATTTCACTTGTTCATGAAGTTCTACCAGAAAAGAAAAGCATGTTGTTACGTTTTCACAGACCTGAGGGCATTGTAAACAAAAAACCTCAGGTAACATAAGCTTTGTTTAGCATAGACTTGGAGATAAGGCAAAACGTTAACTGAAACTTAAAAGATATAATTTTTAAAATCTATTTTGAGGATTGCTTTTTCTTGACCATTCTTGAATAATTATGGACATATGACAGGTTTAAATTTTCACATTAATTTTTTTCACAGATGGCGTTCGCGTCGCTGCCTCGACAGGGATTGACCTCCTCCTCCTTGATGACTTTAAGCTGGTCATTAATGACTTAACGTATCATGTGCGTCCGCCAAAGAGAGGTAAAAAGTAACCCCAATGAGGTCAGAGAAATGTGGGAAGGGCTTTCACAAAGAGCTTATATTTTCCTTGGATAACCTTAAGAAACAGACAATATTCAAAGAACACTGGAAGGTTTACATATAGACTCTGTTTCAGTTGAAGAGCTCACTGAGTACTTGGTACTTGGTTAGTACATTGACTAAAACTTAAATTCTACCTAGACATCAGAAAGCTTTATTATCTGATATTGTCACTCTGTTTCACATAAATGCATGTTCTGTGTAACTTAAGCTTCTTCCCTCCAGACAGGCCAGAAGTCATATTATTTTAATAACATTATAGAAGGAATCTTTTAAAAATAAATTGTGCACTTCCCTGTCCTCTTAAACATTTGTAATAGGAATTAATCCTTTTTTAAAATTTTTTGATGGCTCAAGGTCATCAGTCTGAAAGTCAATTATTGTACAATAATAGTTCTTAGGAACTTCTGACATGCATACGCTTTTGTCCAAAAAAGTGAGATACTTGCCTCAGGAGCAAATTTTAAGAGGGTGTCCCTAAGCTTAGTAGTCAGGATAAATAATATTTTAATGTACTGTTTTCTTAAAGTTAATAAAAAAACATGATGAACAAAATCATCAAAATTTTAAGTAAAGATGGAGTCAGTATTATTTATCTTTCTTTTTACCCCATGGTCTAATATGGCTCTGCATAATACTGATGCTAAATAGCCCTCTAAAATAGCATTTTGAGTTGTGTCATTTTTGGTCACTTTTCTGTCATTGCCCTTGAGATTCATCATCACTCCCTGCTGTTGTTAAAGCTCCTTCCACCACCACCATGCCCTCTGACAGCCTCTTAGGACATCCCTACTTTTCAATTCTGCTTTTGAGAACTCTATCTAATGTAGTAAAAGGTCTAAGTGAAAACCTAAGTATTGAATGCCTCCAAAGTCTGGTCTTCAATTATCTACCTTTAAATTTTTTCTCGTCTACAGCCATGCCACCCTGAACAAGCCTGATCCTGTGTGATCTCAGAAGCTAAGCAGGGTCGGGCCTGATTAGTACTTGGATGGGAGACCACCTAGGAAGATCAGGTGCTCTAGGTGTTAAAAAAATAATAAATAAGAGATTGTAAGCTGACAAGGTCCTCGCAATCTGTGATGTCAACCGAGGGTTGCCTCACCTAAAAAACAAACAAACAAACAAATAATGATTTTTTTCCTCTTTCTCTCACAGGGTACTTTTACTCTACCCTGTGTTCCTTTGCTCTTTCCTTAACTATGCCCCATTCTTTGCCATCTCATTGTTTGCTCATCTTTCCTCTGCCTAAGATGCCTTTCTCCTTTTCTCCTAACCTTCAAGTTTCCTCATGTCAAAATTGTCAATGTCAGCTCTTCCATGAAGCCTTTAATAACCAAGTTCTCTGACTTCTAGCCAACAAGAAGTGATTAATCTCTTCTCTGAATTCTTCTTACTCCTTTTCTTTGTAAATGCTCTGAGGGAAATCACTGGGATATTGTATTGCCCCCCCCGATCCCCACTGACTTAGGTGGTCATTCTATATTGAGTGAATTAAGTGAATTAACTTGGTAGCATTTTGGCTGTTCTGAGGCCTGATTCTCTTCCGTGTTCAAGCTAGTTGACGTGGAACTAGCTTAGAAAAAATATAGAAAAGTATAGTAAGTATAATAAAGATGAAAAAGTATCCTTTAAATAGTAAGACAATACTGAATCAGATTTTATTAAGTCGGAATAATTGACCATGTAGACAAGGGATTGTTAGCTATATATTAGCTATGATAATATGTTTTTCTTCCTTATTCCCTGATTCTTGGGCTAGAAGTTCTCTTTAAAATAACAGAAGTACAAGCCTATTTTACTGTTTCTTGTTGTATTCGTTAAATTTGTTCTCCCCCTGCTCAGCTTTAATGACATAATTGATGTATAACTTTGTGTGAGTTTAAGATGTACAGTGTAATGGTTTGATACACATATATTGTGAAGTGATCACCACAATAGGATTAGTTAACATCCCCATCACCTAGCATTATTATCATTTCTTTTTTGTGGTCAGAAAATTTAAGCTCTACACTCTTAGCAGCTTTCAGGTGTACATTACAGTACTGTTAACTATAATCACCATGATGTATATTGATTGCCAGAACTTATTCATCTTATAATCGGAAACTTGGTACTCTTTGATCAACATAGAACTATGGCATAATCCAGCAATCCCATTTTGGGATGTATACCCAGGGTCTCAAAGAGATATCTGCATTCCCATGTTCATTGTAGCATTGTTCACAATAGCCAAGATATGGAATCAACCTAAATGTTCAAGTATGGATGAATGGATAAAGAAGATGTGGTATATACATACAGTGGAATATACAGTCAGCCATGAGAAAGATGGAAATCTTGCCATTTCCGACAAAATGATGGACCTTGAGGGCATTATACTCAGTGTGTGTGCATGTGTGTGTGTGTGTGTGCGCGCGCGCGCGTGTGTTATCTAAAGAGTTCATTCTATTTAAGTGTGTGTGTGTGTGTGTGCGCGTGCACGTGTGTGTTATCTAAAGAGTTCATTCTATTTAGATTTTCTGTTAGTAAAATTTTATAAGTTGACTAATATATTCCTATATAAAGTTTAACGATGAGAAAACTTAAGATGTGTGCTTTCATATATTATGTTGTCAAAAACTAAAAGTATTTTAATCAATGATAATTCCAACCATCTTGCCTAATACTGTGTTTTTAAAACAGAAATTAATGTTTGCATTTTTTAAATAGGGCTATTCTCAAGTTGAATAAGAAAAGTAAAATTAGAAATTGAAAAGGAGAGAAATTGTATTTGATTCCCTGGTGATCAGTTTGGCAGCCTAACAACTCTGCTTTATCTGTGTCTCAGAACTGTGGAATATCTACCCATTTTACCTACAAGTCAATTAGAATATCAAGTTCGCAAGGGTCAAAAGTCTATAATTCATAGAATAATTGTAAATTGAAGTGTGGGATTTGGTAAACTCAATAGCAGCATTGGTATAGAATTTTAAAAGGCCTTTTTAATATTTAAAATTCACACATCAAAGCTCTCTCAGCTCTGTTAATTAACCAATGAGAGATTATGCCATTAGATATCATTTCTCAGAGCTCAAACAATACTGTTTTAAGTCCATAAATACTTTGTTTACCCCACCTTTTAAAACATAGTAAAGAAAATATTATTTTCTTTTGATAAAATGTAGCTTTTAATTTTGTTGCCACCATATTATCTTCCTCTCCCGGTCCGAAGAAGATATTGCTAGCATCTCAGCCACTACAGTTTTTCAGTGGCATTGAGTAAGAGAGCAAGTTGAATTTCTGTACTCATGACTCCTTTTAGTGAAAAGGCTAAATGAATTAAAATTGAAGGTACTAGGTTTTGGGATTCAGATAATGAGGAGGAACACTAGGATTTTGTATATATGTGGAGCAGATGGAACAAATCTGCTTTATCTAATAAGTTAAAATAGTTAATGAAGGAAAACTTTTCCAGGACACTTTTTTAAGTTTTGACACATATTTTTCTACTCACTCTTCTTCACTCCTTTTAACTTTCACTTCTTTCTCCTATTTTTCTTTTCCCTGTTTATGGATAGCACGTTAGAACTAACGGTGCTCTCTGAATGTTGTGTACTAGTGAACTTTAATTTCACACACTTCCACCAGACACTGAGGATAGAGGGCTCATTCATATAGGATCTAATACAGCCACAATTAATGCTTATGTGGGATTGGCAGTCCATAGGTATTATGGATCCTTCAGTAGTTTCAACTCTTGTATCTAACCCTAAAATTGGAGGGTAGAGGCAGGAAAAAAACTGAAATGGAACAAGGGGGGCAGGTCATAGCAATAAGGCTAGTTGCAAGCTCCATAGCATTCTTTGGGTTACCATAGCTATTTATGGCTGGATTCTCCTCTGACCACTGCAAGATGAGAGAAGTAACTATTTTAGCAATTAGATTTTATAACCTAATGAAATCTAGAATAGAGGAAAGAATACGGAAAAGAAGCACAAGAAGCCTTTTATTCCAGTCCATCTTTAAAGTAGTAATTCACTACCTTCCCTTTAGGCTTAGGGAAGAAGAAAATATACCCTATATTAGTGGTTCAAAGTTTTTGTGAGAGAATCATTTTGATTGGTACCACTAAGCCCTTTCCCCATTTATCCATCCAGAGAATACTGGAAACCTTACTTACATCTTAATGATGTAAATAATTTGAGAAAAAAGATTGAACAGGCAAACCAAATACCAATAATAATGAAGGCCTTATTGGAGACTCAAATAGCCAGAGTCCTTCCCAAACATCTTAGTAGCTGAAAAGACTTTTCAGTCCCCATTATGTTAGCATGTCTCTCTGCCTTGCTGTACCTTAAATATTCTGGCACTGATGGCATGTACAGAAACATTAATAAGCATCCAATTGCATTTTTAATGAAGCATACACTAATCATCCAAAAGTGTCGTTAAGCCATTAAGTAGAGTTATCTTCCCCTTTACTATAATTTCATCTCTGAATATGTGGGCAGAATTTTTAGGGTCAGGGGTTTGAGGTTATTGTTTTCCTCCACCATGATAGTATATGGAATCATATTCTTCGTGTCAATAAAGTCTAACAAAATAATGCCTAATCCCTTGAGTTTGCCAGGGCTTTACTGATGCCCGACCTGAAAGATAACTGTTTTCAGCTAGGTCTAGAGATGGACATCTGTGAGATTGATCTCCTGTGAATTATCATTTTATAGTCTTTTCATTGCCATTAGAAGGTATCGCGATTGCACGTTAATTTTTTTGATTTGTCTTGAATAGATAATACATTCACAAGTTCAACTCCCAAAGCAAAGAATATATGAGGAAAGTTTTCTCATCCCTTTTTTACAGCCACCCATTTCTCCTCTGTAGCAGCAAACATTGTTCTTGGTTTCTTTTGTTTCCTTCCAGAGATAGTCAGTTAATGCATTCATAAGCAAGTATGAATACATAATCTCTTTTCCTTTTTTATGCAAATAATAGCGTATCCTACATACTGTTGGTATCAGGGTTCAATTGGGGAAGCAGAACCACATGAATATTATGGAATAAAAGATTTATTATAGGAATGAAACCTTGTGCAATTGTAGATGGAGCTGAAGAAGAGTCTGAAAAGGGAGTTTGGAAGATCAGAGAAAAGTCGCCAATTTTTAAGCAATGGCACAGAAGGACAATGATCAAAGTTTGCCGAAGAACCTGGAAATTCAGGTGCATCCAACTATTAGGATAAGGAGGATTAGCAAAGAGGGCAAGAGAAATCCCTAGGACAGTGTTATCAAGTAGAACTTTCTCTGCTGATGAAAATGTTCCATTTCTGCACTGTCCAGTATCATAGTCATTAGTCACATGTGGCTATTGAGCACTTGAAATGTTTCTAGTGTAACTAGGGAACTGAATTTTTGTACCTAGTACAGAAATGTTTGTTAATCTTATCTATCTAGCACTCAAATTCCTCATTTATAAATTGTGGGCACCAACCTTACTCATGCTGTTATGGTGAAGATAGATAATATGCAGTAATATATATGATAGGATTTTATTAATCATAGATAATTTTTGCCCACTTAAATATTTGCCTTTTTGAAAGGGATACAAGCTTGCAAGAGAAATATAAAGATTAGTATAGAAGCATTGTAACTCACCTCCAGGCCTAGGGATCAGAAAACGTGGACTCTGCCACTTTCATGTGACATTCTAGACAAGTAATTGCCTTCTAGAGTATAGTTTCCTCTTCTAGTAACTTTGGAAAGTGTAAAGTCGTGTGCAAATGTGAGCTACAATTTGAGTGCAAAGAAGACCTTGTTGACATAGATGACTTCTAGAGCTCAAAGTGTTCTTGCTTTTATCTGTTCCCATTAATGCAGCACACATTTACTGAAGCATGCAAGATACTGTGTTAGGTGCCATATCCCATTTTACTATATCAGCTCTTTTCTAATCCAGTTTGCTACCCTATTTGACTTTTTTATTGATTGTTTCTGTGATAACTTTCCTAAAGGACATCTTTGAAGAATATTTGAAATACATGGCTAATTCCAATTGTGGCTTATTTTGATTTAGAAGAGGGCTGACCTTAAGCTGTATCTAACAAAATGTCACATTTAAGGCTAATATTCTAAAACAAAAGCTTTAATTCTGATGCTTTTATTTTAAATTATTTGGCAGCTGAGACCAGCTGATTTTTTATTAGATTCTCAAAACATAACTTTTAGATTTCTGGAAACGTGCTACTCATAGAACAGGATATTGAATCAAAGAATTTAATCTTGTATCCTTTCAATCATTCTTATAACTTCATGCCATTTAGAGCATAATATTGAGGCCCACCCAGCTATTCTGTAACTTTCCCCAACAAGAATAAAGAAAAGTTGGTGTGCTAGGGGGAAGGTGTATGCAGGCCAAGGTTATTAGGATAAAATATTTTTATTTATACCTTTGTTATTTGCAAATTTGAAATACTGTATAGTTTTTCATCAGGTGTTACTAAAGAGAAAAAAATCACCAATTAAAGTGGCAAGGCCACAGATCAGCATTTTAATAAGCATGAAAATCAGATTGATTCTAAACCTCTCTACTAGTTTTTAACATATTGCCTTAAATTTTTTAATCTTTATCTAATGAAGATTATTATTATTTGTAGCCTCGTATATAGCATTTAGACTTTGAAGAATATAATGGTGAATGTTGGTTTCAAGTTTTTCAGGTTGCCCAAATATGAATATACTTTCTAAGATTTGAAGATACCTCCGTTTTAAAAAAGAACTATCACTTTCCTTCAGTTTCACACTGAAAGTGGATTGCAATAGTGGATGAATCTGCCTTGTTCTCATTGTCTAATAGCCCCAGGAATAACAACTCTTCACTTAAGGCATACATTAAAAAAAAAAAATGTAACCCCTCTCTTTCAGACCTCTTAAGCCACGAAAATGCAGCAACACTGAATGATGTAAAGACACTAGTCCAGCAACTGTACACCACACTGTGCATCGAGCAGCACCAGCTAAACAAGGAAAGGGAGCTTATCGAAAGATTAGAGGATCTCAAAGAGCAATTGGCGCCCCTGGAAAAGGTGCAAATTCAAATCTCGGATTTTTATCTTCACTGATATTTTTTCCAGAGAATATATGTTTGTTTTTTACCTGTGAGTTTTATATAATTGAGCTGTGTCAATCAAACTAGTCTACCTGTTTTGGGGACTGAACCATAAGAAAGTTCCAACCAAAGCTAAGAAAGAACTTAAATAGTTTGGAGCCTTGGTAATGGACTTAAAGCTTTGAGGTCTAAATGTCTACCCTTAACCAGATTTATCATCTCTACAACAAAGATTGGAATAACTGCTAATCAAGAAAGGTTCTGAGTATAATGGCTAATGATTTTAGTCAAGGTTAAGAATTAACATTGCATGGAATATTATGCAGCTGTTAAAAATAATGTGTAGATTTAACATGTTATAGAAAACTTCATGATATGTTATGAAAACTACATTATAAAACAGTGATCCAATTTTTAAATGTACTATGCTTATAGTTATACATATTTATATATTTTAAACATGTATACATATATACAAAGAAAAAATTAGAATATAATCCAAAATGCTAATAGAGTAGTAGGATTATGATTGATTTTTCTTTACACTTTTCTGAATATTTTAGTGTGAACGTGTGTCATCCTTATTTTTTGATGATACGAATATTTCCATTTTAAGAAATTAGACTATATATTAGAGATTAAGAAAAGGAGCAATACTCTTAATATTGTGCTTTTTCTGATTTCTTTAAAAATAATCAGTGTATAATATGTCAAATTTGTCCTTAAATTTAAGACCATTAGGAAGTTGTGAAATTAAACTTGAGAAACTATTGTGATGGGAATGAGATTTAAATTTGATATTTTCAAAATGTAAAGCATTTTTTAATGTACCAGCTATAACAAAATAATTATCATCCTATAGTGAATATTTTCTGTGGGCCAGGAATTGTGCTAAGTATTTTACCTGTATTCTGTTAATCCTCAGAACAACTAAATAATGAAGTTGATGGTAATCTGCAATCAGGGCCTGACCTCAGCTGGTCCGAATCAAGTCCATGTTCTGGCTTATTATCTTGATCTGCCCCCTAGCATGTCCTTTGAGTAAAAACTGATAATATATTAAATCTTATATGCGACAGTGAGAGAACATTGACATGTTTTCATTTTCTTCTTTTCAAATAAAGTAATCTTGTAGTTGAATGAAGAGCTCTTGAAACTAATTAATTCACTCCTATAGTTTCGCCATATTTTCAGCCACTTCTAGGGTGAAACATAAAACACAGGTATCATTAAAAAAATCTCACTCCTATAAAATATTTTGTTCAGTGAAAACTACAGATAGAATTTGGGAAGACAAGCTATATTTATTACAATTGAGACTAATTGTATATGGATTATGAGTTCGGTTTTTTTAGTGAACACAGAACAGTTTAAATAAAAGTTTAAAACTGATAATATGTTAAAGTACCTTATGATTGATTGATCATTTTGCCCATAGGTACGAATCGAGATTAGCAGAAAAGCCGAGAAGAGGACCACTTTGGTGCTATGGGGTGGACTTGCCTACATGGCCACACAGTTTGGCATTTTGGCCCGGCTTACCTGGTGGGAATATTCCTGGGACATCATGGAACCAGTCACCTATTTCATCACTTATGGAAGTGCCATGGCAATGTATGCATATTTCGTAATGACACGCCAGGTAAAAATTCCTCTTCAAGTAACTTTTTATGATATAATGAAGTTTTGGTTGTCAAAGTAATTCTCTTTTCTCTCATATTCTATACGTATTCGTTTATCCTTTTTATACACACACTTGCAGATGCACATGCATGCCAGTTACATATCAGGCACCATTTTAGGTGCTAAAGATAGACATAGATATAAGATATGGCTTCTGCCCTCATGGAAAGAGCCTTATAAACCATTAAATTCAGAAAAATATATTACAGTAAGTTAGAGAATAAGAGCGCAAATGAGAAGAGTGGTCAGCTGTAGGATAACTTGTTCAGCTAAGTTGGCTTAACTTTTTATGTACTATGTAATTAATTTAACAGTCAGAGAAGTCCTAAGCTTTTTGTTTTTATTGTTCTTAGAATGGAGAATTGGTGATACCTATTCAAATAGTTAAACTCTGGGCTACTTCTAAGTATGTTAAGAGTGTAGGTGGGTTTTTTGTTTTTTTACTTCATGAAAGAGAAATGAAAATTAGATATCTAGTCATTTTATACTCTTGGCCTATTCTTTATCAATCAAGGCTCATTTATTAAATATCAGTAGCTAGAACTAATTTTCGTTGCTAGTGCTATGTTTTTAGTAGCTTAGAAACCCATCATGTCTCTTTAGGAAGTATGAGGGAGTTATCACTTACTGTATATATGATACCACCACAGATCCAATCTCTCTTGATAAAAAACATTTGAAATAGCTAAAACATATGAGAAGCTTTTTCCATTTTCTTAGGCATCAGAAGGAAGCAGCTGGAAATTGCTTATATTTTTAAATGGTTGCTATTAAACATAGGTATTTTACTTCTGTTGTTGTTAGACCAGTAGTCATAGTCCTGTTTATGTGTGGGAAAATGAAAACCCAAGAACATTATTTAACTTTTCTGGGCCTCCTTAACTTGTTCATGTGCTGCCATTGTTCTTGCAGAGTCTCCAGCACCTGGTCTCATGTCTGGCTCATACTAGTCACTCTGTGTGAACAGAACGGAACAGCCAGCTCAGTCATATCTAATCACAGCTCTAGACAGGGCTCCGTGTTTCTTTCCCTCTCCCCTCTTTCTTCCTCCTCCCTCTTCTTCTCTCTTCTTTTTCTCTTCCTTATATACATACCCCTTTAATGAATTCTTTTTATATATTGATTGAAATCCAAATTCCAAATTAGCCTGCTGTTGTCTTTGCTGGTTACTATCTGTCTTTTCCAAATGTCCCTCACCTCTCCTGTGTATGTACTGTGTGTCCTAAACAAATCAAATTAAATTCTTTATTCCTCCTCAAATGCCCTGAGTTGTACACCACCTCATTCCTTAGTTCACACATTCTGTCAACTGGGAACGTTCTCCCTGTTGATCTTTACCTGTCATACTTCAAGGCTTTTCTAAATGCTTATCTTTTATGAACTTTTGACCAAATACCTACAGCCAGCTTTGAGCTCTTCTTGTTCTGAATTCCTGTAATCACATTGTGCCTCTCATTCTACCCATCCTATGTTATCTTGTATTAGAATTATTCATGTAAATGTCTTTTCCCTCTACTAGAATATGATACCTTTTGAGGCTAGGCATTTAGTTCTTTCAATTTTTATTGCCTGACACAGTGACTCATATCTTTAATAGCCTATCTGTCCTACTAGTTAAATGCTGCATTTCTGTGATTCCCAAAGCATTTTTGCTGCCCGCCCCAAGCAACAAGTCGCAAAATAGCAGTAGTAAAGAATTTAGACATTTGTGAATAAGAAAACTTGACCAAATAAAATGTGAATAGAGTTTCTCATGTTAAATATTCTTTTCCACATCCGTATCCATAATTAACAGCCATGAAGCAAAATGCCAGTTCAACAGCATTTAAACTCTTCTAAACTCTTGTTACAATGAGATGCTTTATTTGTTAGCAACCTAAATATATCCCAATATATTAAGTATATTAATAAGTATATTAAGTTCCGAAGAATCTTTGTAAGATGACAAGTTCCTCTAAATCATAAAATCAAGTGGAATATTGAATCAAGTGTATTATTTCAGTGAAACCAGAGTATCAATTTCAGTTATGCAAAAAAGGAGCCTGACAATAAGAATTGCCATTGAGTTACTTCAGCACGCATTTGGACCACCCATCTAATACCCTCAGTAATTAAGACAGTGGCGCAAGGATAGACAAATAGTCCAAAGGAATAGAAGAGAGAATATAGAAATAGACTCAGCATACAAAACCTTATGGTTTTAAAAAGATGGCACTACAAAGAAAGGAGAGTCTTTTTCAATAAATGGTGCTAAGATAATTGAATATCCACATAAAAAAAAAACGGAGCAATTCCATTCTTACACTATAAATAAAAATTAATTTTGGATGGATTATAGATCTAAATATGAAAGGTAACACAATAAAGCTCCTGGAAGATTATATAGGCTATCTTAATGACTGTGGAATAAGAATGACTTCTTACACAGACTGAAAAGTACTAACCATAAAGATAAGAATGATAAATTAGACTAAATTAAAATTAAGGACTTCTGTTTATTAAAGGACACCATAAAGAGAGTGAACAGAATGGGAGGAGTTATTTGTAGTACAGATATCCAACAAAGGATTCATATCCAGAATATATAAACAAATCCTACAAATCAGTAAGAAAAAGAATCCAATAGAAAAAGGTGGTAAGAGGTTTAAATAGGCACATCTAAAAGAGGATATGCAGATGGCAAATAATATATGAAATGAAAAGCTCAACTTCATGAGTGATCCAGAAAAATGGTATATATCTCTAAGAGAAATGAAAATGTATGTCCATATGAAAACTTTTACATGAATGTTCATAGCAGCATTATTCATAATAGTGAAAAAGTGGAAACAGCTTATGTCAATCAATTGATGAATGGATAAATAAAATGTGGTGTATCTATGCAATGGAATATTATTTGGCAATAAAAAAAAAATGAAGTATTGATACATGCCACAAATAGATGAAACTTGAAAGAAGCCAGACACAGAAGGCTATAAGTTGAATGATTCTATTTATATAAAATATCCAGATAGGCAAATCTGTAGAGTCAGAAAGTAGACTAGTAGTTGACTAGAACTGGAGGTGCTGAGGGAGATGGGAGGTGACTGTTAAAGAATTCATGGTTTCTTTGTGGGATGATGTAAATGTTCTAAAATAGATTGTAGTAATGGTTATGTAACTATGCGAATATATTAAAGACCATTGAATATTATACTTTAAATGAGTGAATTTGTATGATATGTGAATTATATCTCAGTAAAGCTGTATTTTAGCACACACACCAGAATGGCTAATATTTTTAAAAACTGGTAATACCAAGTATTGGCAAAAATGTAGAGTAATGGAAACTCTCATATTCGACTGATGAGTATATAATTGGTACAGATATTCTGGAAACCTATTTGATATCACTTCTTAAATTTGAACACATGCATACCCTGTGTTCTAGGATTCCCACTCATAAGTATGTCCTCAACAGAAGAAATAAGTCCAGAAATGTTCTTGGCAGCATTTTCATAATAACCCAAACTTGAAAACAATCCAAAGTCTACCAGTAGTACAATGGATAAATAAATTGTGATGTGGTCATACAGTAAAATATAACATAGCAAGAGAAACGAATAGACTATAGCTACACACAAAATGACTCTCTCAAACCTAATATTGAGTGAAAGTAGCCATACACAACACATACTGTCTGACTCCACTTTTATAAAATTTAAAAAACAGGTAAAACTAAGCTGTAGAGCTCAGGGAGGTATGTGTTTAAGTAGGGAAGCTATAAGGAAAGCAAGAAAGTAACTATCATAAAAGTCAATATATTGGTTACTTTTGGGGAGAAGGAAGGGTTAGTAATTGGGAAGGGGCAGGAAGGGAGCCTCTTAGTTTTTGGCAGTGTTCTATTTTTTTTTTTAAGCTGGTAATGATTAGCATGTTCACTATGTGATTTGTTGTGATGTACATTTTTGTTTTGTGTGCTCTTGTGTGTGTATTTCACAATAAAAATGTTTAAGAAATAATCACTTAGCTCTGTATATGTCAGTATATATCTTCACATGTGTGCATGTGTGTTGAATCTAATCAACAGTTAGTAAATATTTGTTTTGTGAAGATAGTATGCTAAAGACTAATGATTTAATTTGTCCTTTCTTTTTGTAGGAGTATGTTTATCCACAAGCCAGAGACAGACAATACTTACTATTTTTCCATAAAGGAGCCAAAAAGTCACGTTTTGACCTAGAGAAATATAATCAACTCAAGGATGCAATTGCTCAGGTAAGTTTTCCAAAAATAAAATTTAACAAATCCTAGCCCCATACTGTATGGCATTGTTATTATTATCCATAACCCCAGTACTTCAATGAGTAAACTCTGAAAGAATGACCCAACCCCTTCTTCCTATATAAAATACTCCTGAATTGATAAAAATTACTTTTTTAGCGTGAACACCTTATGTTTTATATCAGAAGCCGGTGAAAATATGATGGGTCCTAGTTATCCTATTAACACTAGCATATTGGAATTTTTAGACCTATTTTTACTTTTTTCCGTTTTGTTTCTTTAAAGTTGTCTATTTTTACTTTTCTTTCTTTTTTAAATCTTTCTACAATATTTGACCCATAGATTTCTCACCTAAAATGTGTGGTAGCAATAGGGCAAAAATAAAATGAAGAGACAACTACTAGAAATCTCTGCCAGATGCAGGTGAGAGATTATTTAACTAGTGAGAGATTATTTAACTAGAAGATGCTTTTTTAAAAGATTGATATATTTCATTTTTCATAGTTGTTACCTCTTTCAGATTTATGAATGTGCATCCCTCACTCTGATATATTTGATTTTGGTGAATAAATTCTCATCCCTATTCTCTGTAGTCTTTTATGATTTTAGAGGTTTTTCAAAACTCTCTAGAAGCTCTTCCATCCTGTTTAATGTTTAGATGCTTTTCTCTGGACTTCCTCTGCCTTCCCTGTCCCTTATTGGTGATGGGGTTATGCGTTGCCTGGGCTTAATCCATCTTCCTGCCTTGGTGTAAAAGGACTCATGTCCTCTGTTGTTCTGTGAGTGGTTCTCAGCTGGAGGGAATGCAACAGAATCACCTCTGGAGCTATTAAAATACAGATGCTTTGGCCCCACCGTAAGCCTTATTATTCCAGCTTCTCAGGGGTGAGGGTCAAGCATGTATGAGTTTTGAAAGTACTGCAGTTGACTATACATCTCCACTTTAAAAATCACTAGCTATTGAAAAACTTAAACAACGACTGGATAAACAACAGAAGTCTTGAGCAGTATAAATTCAAGTTCTGGCTCCAGGCAAAGGTTTGTGAAAGGGCTTCTCTCCGGAAAAGCCACCAGAGTGCATCTTCTTTGAGCTCCTGTGTCATGCCCTGTTGATAGCACAGCCTTTCTGGAGGCTCTGTTTACAGCTGAAACTGCCAGGACAGACTTTGATTTTGGTCCCCCTTTGTTGTCCTATGGCTTTAAAACCCTTTGCCTCTGAGGCACTCTTATTTTGAAAGTAATTGTGATAATTTCTCTAACTCATAGTGATGGAGGAGAGATAGTTTCTTTTTTTCTTAGGAGACAGTAATGTCATTGAAAACTTCACTAGCCAGTTTTTCTCTCCTTTTGTTTCTATTTTAGGCAGAAATGGACCTTAAGAGACTGAGAGACCCATTACAAGTACATCTGCCCCTCCGACAAATTGGCGAAAAAGATTGATCTGCAAAGAGCCTCTGAATCCTGGCAGAAAGAACACCTGTTTATAACTATTGCCTTTTTAATTAAGTTTGCAGGTGGAAGCTGGGAGCCATGTTGGGGTAGAGGGTTTTTACCTTTAATTAAAAAACAAGAACTAAAAGGATCTTAGGGAAGAAAAGAATGTTAAAAATCTGAGGATCAGGCTTTGTGAAATGTAAGCTCAAAGGGCTTAGTGAATATTGTCTTAATCAAGCACATCAGTTCCTGGATGAAAATGATGCATTATATAGAGAGATTCATAAAGAGAAAATGTGCTGGGGTGTTCGTTTCTTACATCTTTGCAGGGTCAGCAAAATAGTAACACACCAGCACCCCACTCAGCTCTAATTTTTTTTATTTAACTTTTCTTATTTTTGACATAGGAGTAAATATACCAGAAAAGTAAATCCTTAAGACATGTGGGTGGCAGATTCTGAGCCCATGTCATTAGTATTCATTTTAAATTGGATCCAGCCTCTACAAAGTTAACCAGGAATCTCTCCTGCTTGTGCCCCTTTTCTGATTACCCACACCTGTTGGTTAGACTAATATTATCCATATGATAATTGGAACCAACGTATGACTGTTTGATAATTGATACTTTGGATTATCCCTTATTATCTTCTTAAATGTCTGTATATTCCAGTGCTCTGGATCAGTATCTAGGAATCATTGGCAACACTGCATGAGGTTTTTTTGTTTTGTTTTGTTTTTTACTAATTAATCTTTAAGAGGCAGAATTTCCCTCCTTTAACTATCTGATTGATATTCCCTCCACAACTCAAATCGGAGGGGGAGTGTTCAGCTGTATTACTAAATCAGAAAAATGTAAGGTTTACAAATTGGCTAAAAATCATGGCTTTGTAGCCATTTCAGAACCAGAATGATTTTATTGCTGTTAATCTGCTTGTGTGACAGCATTTTAGGCCACCCAGATGGCGCTGCCTTGTCTGGAGGCTTTGTTAATCTCAAAGGACACACATTCACTTCCACAGTTTGTGAGCCCTCCCCTCTCCACCACTTCAGTAGCTGTAAATCAAGTGTGTGGATCTCAAAGGGTGCAATTTATCTTTATACAGAAATACATTTCTATGGCTTCTTTCAACCTACCCTCTTCACCCGATTTTTTCTTATCTTAAATCGAGAGAAAGAAGCATTTATCTTATACTCTATCAAAATATTTTCTACCATATTTCCAGATGACATCTGCATTTGAAGAATCAAGAGAATCTGTGTCTAATATTCTGTTTTTAATTACTGTGGGGGCCGGATCTAGAGGATGATGGGGCTTGCCACACAGTTGATTGGCTTTTTTCTTTCACATGATTCATCCCTTCTCATTGTGACAAGGGATTTCTTTCTCTCTTTCTTTCTCCTTTGGGATTATTGTGTATGAAAGGAAAAATTTTAAATGACAAACCCAGATTCCAGGTGCCTTGCAGAGGTTGAAGGCTAACCAGGATTGCTGCTGCTGCTGCTCCTGCCACCACCCCTTCCACTGGCATGATGAAATGAAAGGATGCATGTCTCTACTTCCCAACCCCTCCTCCCACTTCCTTCCCCTGCCCACCCCTAGTCATTCAACCTCTTCCTTCATTTATTTTTGTTAAGTTGTGTGAATTATTTTTAAACCATTTATCCTGTTTGTGCGCAGGTTTTTAAAGAAGAAACAGCACAGTGCAATGAGCAAATCCTTTCAGGGTGTGTGGGAGGCAAGGGAGAGTGGATGGACGTGGAGAAAAGTTCTTTAAACAAATAGCAAAATATTGAACATGTGTAAAATCCTGTATCATTTATGAAATATGTATAAAAAGCAATGTACCTTCTGGAACAATAAATACTTATTCGATTTTTGAACTATAGCATCTCATTCTTTAAAGAAAAGCTCAAAAAAAAAAAAAACCCAAACATTTTCCTGTAATTCTAGGTGGGAAGCTTTTTACTTCCAAGCTCAAAAAAAAAAACAAAAAAAAAACCAAACATTTTCCTGTAATTCTAGGTGGGCAGCTTTTTACTTCTAAAATTAATTTTTATAAAAATACCATTTTTAAATCAAGATTTGTTCCTAGAACCTATATTTTAAAAACAGGCATTTCATTAATTCTTCCTGAACCTAAGATGGTCAATATCTTCCTAATTTTCCAGAGCCACCCAAGCTTACATGACCTGTACAACCATAATAAGGCCAATGGCAGCACTGAGACTAATATCACCATTTCCTGATTAACAGGAAAAATCTCCATTATATCAGACCACCAGATTGCACACCGTGGTCTCCTAGACTCCAGAAACTTGTTCAAGGATGAACCAATATTAAATATTCATTATTTTAAGAGTTTGTATCAAATTTATAATGATCATCAAACAGTAAAATATCACATACTGCCTATCCCATTGAAGGCATATTCAAAAAGCATGTATTAAAAGATAAAAATCATCATATCAATAGATGCAAAAAGAGCATGTGACAAGATACAATATCCATTTACAATTAAAACATTCAGTAAAATGGGTATAGAAGGAAAATACCTCAACATAATAATGGCCACATATGACAAATACTCAGTTAACATACTCAGTGGTGAAAAACTGAAAGCTTCTCCTCTAAGATCAAGAACAAGACAAGGATGCCCACTCTTTTCATTGTTATTCAACATAGTATTGGAAGTCCTAGCTAGAGCAGTTAGGCAAGATAAAAAAAGGCATCCAAATTGAGAATTACAAAGTAAAATGGTCACTAGTTGAAGGTGACATGATTTCATATAGGGAAAACCCTAAAGACTCCACCAAACGACTATTAGAAACGATAAACGTTTAGTTGCAGGAAATCAATGTATAAAAATCCCATATATACTAACAATGAAATACTGGAAAGAGAAGAAAACATCCCATTTGCAATTGCAGCAAAAAGGCTAAAATACCTAGGAATAAACTTAACAAAGGAAATGAAGGTCTTATCCACTGAAAACTATAAGACGTGGAAAAAAAATTGAAGGCAAAAAAATTGAAAGATATTTCATGCTCGTGGATTGGAAGAATTAATATAGTTAAAATGGCTATAGTTATATAGTTAAAATGGCTAAAGCAATACACAGATTTAATGCAAATCTCATCAAAATCCCAATGATATTTTTCAAAGAAATAGAACAAAAAATCCTCAAATTTGTGTGGAACCACAAAAGACCCTGAATAACCAAAACAATCCTGAAAAAAAAAGAACAAAGCCTGAGATATTGCATTTCCTGATTTCAAATCATACTACAAAGCTACAACAACCAAAACAGTGTAGTATTGGCAGAAAAATAGGCACACAGACCAATGGACCACAAATGAGAGCCCAGAAATTCACACATATATGGGCAACTATTCTTCGACAAAGGGGCCAAAAATATACAATGGAGAAAGGAAAGTCTAAAATAAATGGTGTTGGGAATTTGGAAGGCCACATGTAAAAGAATGAAACTAGTCTATCTGACACCACACACAAAAATTAACTCAAAATGGATTAAAGGCTTGAATATAAGACAATAAACAATAAAATACATAGAAGAAAACATAGTCTCCTAAACTTATGGACCTTGGTCTTAGAGGAGTTTTTGCAAAGTTGACCCCAAAGGCAGGGAACTAAAAGCAAAAATAAATTAATGTACTACATCAAACTCAGAAAGCTTCTGCATAACAAAAGAAACCATTGACAAAAAAAAAAAGCAACCAAATGAATGGGAGAAAAGATATTTGCAAATGATACCTCTAATAAGGGGCTAATACCAAAATGTATAAAGAACTCATACGACTCAACAACAAAAAAATCCAATTAAAAATGGGCAGAGGACCTGAACAGACACTTTTTCCAAGAAGATATACAGATGACCAACAGATATATGAATAGATGCTCAACCTCACTAGCTTTAAGGAAAATGCAAATCAAAACCACAATGAGATACCACCTTATACCTGTTAGAATGGCTACTACCAATAAGACAAGAAATAAGTGTTGGAGAGGATGTGGAGAAAAGGGAACCCTTGCACACTGCTAGTGGTAATGTAAATTGTTGCATCATCTATGGAAAATTGTATGAGGGTCCCCAAAAATTAGGAATAGAATTATATGACCCGGCAATCCCTCTTCTGGGTATCTACCCCAAAAATTTGAAAACACTTATTTGTAAAGATATATGTACCCCTATGTTAATTGCAGCATTATTCATAATAGTCAAGACAGAAACAACCTAAGTGTCCTTCAACAGATGACTGGATAAAGAAGATGTGGTACATATATACAATGGACTGCTATTCAGCCATAAAAATGATGAAATATTGCCACTTATGACAACATGGAAGGATCTTGAGAGTCTCATGCTAAGTGGAATAAGTTAGATGGAAAATACAAGAACCATTTTATTTCATTCATATGTGGGTATAAAACGGAAAGCAACAAATAAAAAACAAACTCATAGATGCAACAGTATGGTGTGTACCGTAGAGAAAGGGGATGAGAGGAAGGATGAATAGGGTAAAGGTAGTCAAGTATCTGTTGATGGAAGGAGACTAGACTCTGGATATTGAGCATACAATGCAATATACAGATGTATCATACAATTATACACCTGAAACTTGTATAATGTTAGTGCGATATGAGATGTACTAAGAGCCTCCATAGCTATGGTTCTGCCTCCTGGCAGCCTATAGCAACCTAACACAGACATCCCCTAGACGTGTATAAGGTGTAAGAAGATCGAAAATGTTAAGCCCTTGTTTGCATTCAACAAATAATGTCTACATATTTCACAATATTCTGTTAGGCTTTAGTGAATTTTCAGTGGAGATAATGGAGAGTATTAAATCCATTAGTGAGTGTAGGTAATGCAGTTTTGCTAAGAGATAATAGACTTTTAGAATTAGAAAAGTAAAAAGATTCTCAGAGTATGGTCCCCGGAGCAGCAACCTGGCATCTCCTTGTTAGAAATTCAAGTTCTCTGGTCCCTACTGAATCAGAAATTAGGAGTGGGGCAAGCAACCTGTGTTTAACAAACCCTCCTGGTGATTCTGATGCAAACCATTGATCTCATCAAACCATTGCTTTAAAGAGAAGGAAACAGGCACAGCGAGAGCAGGTATGTCACAACTCACCAAATCAATTCTACAGTGAAACAACCTGACCAAATGACTAAAGGACTAGTAAGTATGGTGAATATGGTTAATGAAAAGTACAGAGATCAAGTCACATGTAATCTTATATCTTGTCTGTCAGAGTGTAGTGGTAAGCATATAGCAGATGTTTACAAAACAAATACAAATAGGTTGAATTTTTAAAATCTCTCTGGAAAGATTTCACAGAGAAGTGGAACTTCTTAGATTTTGGAACTTAATGTCATCAAAACTATTAAGGGTTATAATTCATTTTTATCACAGCCAACAACTTTTATGTCACTCTTCCATATGTCCTAAACTCCTTGTCTCTAAAATGCACTACATGATTATTTCCTTAGGATAAATGAGAAGGTTAATTTTAACAAATACTACTGAACATAACTCATTTTATAAATTATCATTTACATATGTTTTATAAATGCATCATCCACTGAGTATTCCTTCCTCCTTGAAACTGTCCTCAGCTCCTGTGACTTTGCTCTTGAATTTCCTTCTATAAATCTCCGACTACTTCTCAGTCTCTTTTGTAGCACCTCTTCTTCTTCCCACATCTTTGATGTTGACTTTTCCAATATTCCTTCTTGGACCCCATTTTCCATGAATGATCTCATCCATTCCTTAACCCCAATTTCAGTTATGTGCTAGTAGCTCTCAAATGTGCTATTCTTGAGTTGGTTGGAGAGCCTTTCCCACAAGCATGTAGTGACCGTTTGTCTCCAGGACCAGGTTCAACATCTAAATTCCAGTCAGACTTGGCATTGGAGATCAGCTGGTGTCCTCTGCTGATTTCTGAGAAGAGCTGTAAATTCCTGTAACTTAGGTTAGGCAATCGGATTAAATATGTTCTCAGATCTCTCCCCTTGAAACAACAATAAGCTGAACATCTAAAACTTAACAAAAAACACCCAAACTGCACACCAGCACCTCTGAGCATGGGATCTGCGCATTAGAGCTACCACAGGTCAGAACCCCGGGTGCCGGGCAGTAGACTGGGAGAAACAAAGAAGCTACCTCTCGCAGCCAGAGGTCCCTGTAGGAGGAGGGGGACAGAAGAAGGTGTGGCGACTTCCCTGAACAGCCCTGCCCGGGAGTACTGTGAGCACCACGCGGCCTGCAGCAGTGCCCAGTCATCAGGGCAGACAGCAGAGAAATAGGAGAAAGCAGAAAAGCGGGGACAGCAGAGAAACAACAGTCAATTTTTACCAGCCTCAGTTACAAAACTGAGGTTGAGCCACACTCCCCATCCCCCAACACAGAGAGCCCCTCCCCCATACCCTCTGAGACCAATCACTGCAGAGCCCCAAGGGAATCTGAGCAAACGCTACAGAAACTGTCGCTAACACTGACAGGAACTGAGACTGAGGGTAATGAGTGTGATTAAACATCTATAAGAAAAAAAAGACATTATTAAGTCTTTATATAAAGCAGAAATCCAAGAGGCTTAGATGCCACCTACTGGAAACCAAAAAAAAAAAAAAAAAAAAAAAAACTTCTTCTTTGTAACAGCGTAAAAAGAGACTTTT